TTGATAACACGATGTAATATGTACCAGTGCTACGATTGTTTTAAAGCTGTTCTGTTAAATCATAGTTACTTTCAAATGTCGAGTAAGAGCAAATCAAAGCCGCATAATTAACACTGTATAGTTTCTATTACTCGAATAATTTAGTGATTTTATAAACAGTAATTAAGTCACACAATTGTCTGTAATAATTTATTACAAAAATTAGGGTAGTCAATTGACTGACAACATTGTTAACATCAATACATTAGTATATAGTAACAAAAACATGCAATTTAATAACTATTATTCTAAATAGTATTTTAGAGAGTTTTAACGAGTTAAATAATTGAGAGAATAACGCAAGTGACGTCAGAGTAGCTCACATAACTATATCTAAAACCTACGTTACTGCATCTGCTCCGACATATAAGTCCCTAAAAAAGTTGATACTATAAAAATACGACATTGAATATTGATATAGTACACTATATTTGTATATATACTACTGATACGTTCACTGCTCGTAGTATTTAAGCTCGACAAAGCAACGTGTAGATTGATGCCATTGAAGCCCATTAGGTCATTGAAATCCTTTAAGTTAGCATTTAGAAATTGGTTATTGGACAAAAGGTTTTATACATAATATATATGAATATTTAATAAATAAATAAATCATTATGTATTCTTAATTTTTGCTAGCTATAAAGTGAGTCAGATTCTCGAAAAACTATAATTATATTTGGATGCCTACTAGGACAAATATTGTGTTTCAAGTATTGTTTGTACGGCTGGTTTAGTAAGTAACGTATTTATTCATTCAAGATACACGTAGTATTTTAGATTAAAAAATAGGATTTGCAGATTCAAAGTAAGTACGGTTTGAATAGGCTGCGGTTGTCGGGGAAACTGCGGCCAGCAAACACCAGCAGTTGAATCTATCTGTACATATGAATAAAATTGGAGTGTCTGTTTGTAATATTGAAATTACCGTATTTTACTACATGTATATTCCACCAAAATAACATTTTTTGCAATTTTTGTCTATCTGTCTGTTTGTTCCAGCTAATCTCTGAAATGTCTGGAACGATTTTGACGGGATTTTTTTGGCAGGTAGCTGATGTAAAAAGGAGTAACTTAGCCTGCTTTTATTTTGTTTTTTTTTTTTGGAAAAAATTGAAGTCGCGGGAACAGCTAGTATTATTATATATCAGGCCATCTGCTACGCCGCGCCGCAGGGTGCTTTACTGCGGACTGTAGGGCACACACAACCCACACGGTGTGATTATTTTATGCATTGTTTGCTAGTTTTTTTTCCTAAATGTATATTTATAGTATATTTTCCTAAAATGAAAGAATTTTTCTAAAATAAAAGTAGCCTGAGTTACTCTTTATTACCTCAGCTACCTGCCAATAAATGTCCCGTCAAAATCGGTCCAGCCATTTCAAAGATTAGCTGGAACAAACAGACAGATAAACAAGCAATTGTAAAGAATGTTATTTTAGTGCATGTACCGTACTTATATTCATATGCGTGTAGTAAAAAAACGCTTATTTCAATATTACAAACAGACACTCTAATTTTATTTATATGTGTAGATGTGGGAGTCGTCACGCACTAAGTATGCACTGCGTCGCCACTTCTTTTCATCCCTGTGATGTCGTAAGAGCCGATTAGGGAAACAAAGCCCAAATACACCGGAGCGAGGGAAGGAAAACTCCAAATAAAACCCTATTATGCCGAGACAAATTAAGATGACATACAAAACAACAGATGTTTTTTGTTTGTATCTCATAATGTATTACAACTAGAGATGTGTCAACTCGAGTTACTAACTCGAGTTAACTCGAGTTGTTCATAATTCGAGTTAACTCGAGTTGAATTCTGCCAACTCGAGTTGGAAGAATTCAACTGGTAAATGAATGAATCGAGTGAAAGAGCTAGAGCATGATTCTGTCATCGAACTGACAATGACATGAAATTTTCCGATCATTTCATATCATACAATTTTCACTCGTCACAAAGTGTGTTTCAATATTGATTTGAGGTCGTTATCATTTTTTTTTTCGATTATTCGTCCGGTTATGTTATTATTAAAATGATTATGCGTTCTATAAGTCCTTCCGCGGCTTTGAAGTGCCATTTCTACTCGCCCCCTATAGTTCGGTGAAGCTTTCAAGGCTAGCTGCGCCTATAAACATTAGATTTGTTCGAAAAAACAAAAAAAAACTGTTTATTCCAGATAACTCGAGTCATGTTTATTACGAGATAGCACATCTCTAATTACAACATTTCATTTGTATATTTACTTGACCACCTTGTTTTCTGATTATTACCTATTTAGAATTTAGTTTTTTTTAATGGTAACAAAAAATAAATTAATAATATGTATTACGACTAAAAATTAATACTAACATTATTATACTGAAACTAATAAATATAATATAATAAGTAAAATATATTATCAAAAGGCGTCCCTTTAGTCAAAGTTCCGTTGATACTGGCAGCGTTCCCTCTCTGAATGGCTACACTAGTTCTTTGTCTGAGGTAGCTGCCAGCTCTTCGGTCTCCTGTGATTACATTATATACTAGCTGTACTCGCGACTTCGTCCGCGTGGAATTTAACTTTATTTTTCTGAAGTAAAACATGTTTTCTAAAATAAAATTAGCCTAAGTTACTCCTTATTACATCAGCTACTTGCCAATAGAAGTCCCGTCAAAATCGGTCCAGCCATTTCAAAGATTAGCCGTAACAAACAGACAGACAGACAAAAATTGTAAAAAGTGTTATTTTGGTGTAAGTATTTATATTCATATGCTTGTAGTAAAAAACGGTTATTTCAATATTACAGACAGACACTCGTATTTTATTTATATGTATAGATTTTGATAACAATCACACATAATCGTAAATAACTGTAATTCTGGTGCTATTATACTAGAGCCCGCCGAGCTGTGAGTTTCAAGGGTTTCTTGAATTTAAATGATTGGGAATCCGATGCAGACTTCGTTATTGACCTCAGAAGTTCCAGTCAAGTGGAGCCTGGGGGATCTACTAACACTACCAGTCCTGACGAGTTGCTAAATTTGATTAATTCATGTTGTAGTTTATTCATGTAGTAATAAGAAAAAGACTTGCTGAACGGAGAATAATATATATTAATATACACTACTGACCCAACAGAATAGTGTAATGAAAGTGAAGTAACAAACAAGAATCTACAAAAGAAACTATACATTTTAAATACAAATTTAGAATATAAAACGTTTCTTCATTAGCCAGTTACAACAATTCATAACGACCGGAACAATTTTTTATGTCGAACGGTAGGTTCTTTACTGAAGCTGCTGGATTTCATTGTTCATCATTAAATGTTAAAAAAAAATGGTACATGATGTACTTGCATTACAAAAGTCAATCTGTGAAATTGTCCTGACATTTTTTTTACAGAATCTGCTCATATAGTTTCAATAGATATAATCTTTATTCAAATAAACTCATTACAAGCACTTTTGAATAGTCAAATTTTGATTCTACCACTCATTCGGAATGCAGATTATCACAAGAAGAATGAGCAAGAAACTTGTGTGTTGCTCTTTTGAATAGATGTTTTATGTGTATGCATTTGATTTCATTCACTTCAGTGATAAACTATCTTTGTTAGGACTACCACAGGTGCGATGTCATGATCTCAGCTAGTTTATTATTATCTATACATATAAATAAAAGTGGAGTGTCTGTTTGTAATATTGAAATAACCGTTTTTTACTACATGCATATGAATATAAATAAATACGGTACATACACCAAAATAATATTTTTTACAATTTTTGTCTGTCTGTTTGTTCCGACTAATCTCTGAAATGGCTGGATCGATTTTGACGGGACTTTTTTTGGCAGGTTGCTGATGTAATAAGGAGTAACTAAAGCTTTTTTTTTACTTTACTTTTATTTTAGAAACATTAATTCCCTAATGGAATTTAACTTTTTTGTTAAATTCCATGCGGACTATTAACTAGTATTATTATAAGATTGTATAGTTTATTATATGTAGACAGTAAAAAACAGGAATATTAATAACTCTGATTGTATACTTCACTAGCTGACCCGGCAAACGTTGTTTTGCCACATAAATTAATATCGCTATTAAAAAATAGGAGTTGGTGATACAAAGGTGAAAATGTAGGTTTTTAATGTCACATAATAAATATATTAAAAACAAAAAAAAATTTGGAGTGAGCCACCCTTAACACTTAGGGGCATAAAACTATTTAACCTATTCTCAGATCTACTGAATATACATTGTGCATGTAATAAAATTTCATTAAAAGGTAAAAGACACAAGACCTGTGACACGAGAATTTTATATATTAGGCTTCGCACGGGTGTACATGTATTGTATATATAAACCTTCCTCTTGAATCACTCTATCTATTAAAAAAAATCATTTAAAAGCCGTTGCGTAGTTTTAAAGATTTAACATGGGGACAGACAGACAGCGACAGCGACTTTGTTTTATATTATGTAACGATGATGATGATGAGCGTACACAAAATAACACTTCAATTATTTGTTCAGTAATATTGTTATATAATATTCAGCAGGCAGGTGGTGGCGGGTGGTAGCGGGTGGTGGTGGCGGCGTGCTGCTGGCATGCATTGTATTGCTGGTGGTCCACGTGACTCGTGACCCGTGTGCTGCTGACATTTGTGGTGACGGTTGTTATAATAAATTCAAAATACAAAATTGAAATATTTTTCAATTTTGAACGCGATAGCAGTACATTGCTGCTTAAAATAATTTAAAATAGATTGCTCTCTATAAGTATTTTGTAATTTTCTGTAAGTATGTTTAGTTTTATTATTTTATTGTATTCATTACTAAGGTGACGAGTCGAATACGGACAGTTGGTATTTTGTAATTTGTAAAACAAGATGTGCTCTCTGAACAGGTTCAATACGTTTAGCGAACGACGTTATTTTCTACAAAATTACAGTCTTAATCGAATCTTTAAAACCCAATATGTCGCTTTATGTCTCAGACACTTATGATAAATCGAGTGCTTCACCCAAAATTCAATGTATAAAAATATGGTAATTTAGCACGTTATCGGCTTCGAACAGACGCGGCGAGACATGAACGAATGTGAGCGACGATAAATGACGGCCGATAACAGAACGGGCAAGAAGGTACCACCTCGCACACACACACACACACACACACACGGGGTCGCAGGTCACACACACCCACACACACAGCACACGAGGGGCGAGGTGACGACGACACGAGCCGATAAAATGACGTTACCCACTTGTATTATTGCACGTGGAAAGCAATTACCAAGGAAAAGGACTGCTCGCTCTTCAAAACGGCTACATTCCGATGTGGCGGCGAAACGATTTATAGCCGCGCACTGTGTCACACAACTCACTCGTCAACTGAACTAGTGCGAGCACCCATCGCTGTCACACCGTCACACCGCCGCATCGTCACACCGTCACACCGCCACACCATTACAGCGTCACACCGTCACACCGCCACACCGTCACACCGCCACACCGTCACACCGCCGCATCGTCACACCGTCACACCGCCACACCATTACAGCGTCACACCGTCACACCGCCACACCGTCACACCGCCACACCGTCACACCGCCACACCGTCACACCGCCGCATCGTCACACCGTCACACCGCCACACCATTACAGCGTCACACCGTCACACCGTCACACCGCCACACCATTACAGCGTCACACCGTCACACCGTCACACCACCGCATCGTCACACCGTCACACCGTCACACCGTTACAGCGTCACACCGTCAGACCGCCGCCGCATCGTTTCACCGTTACAGCGTCACACCGCCACACCGTCACAGCGTCACACCGTTTCACAGTCACACTTTCACACCGTCATATCGCCACGCCATCACACTGTCACACCGCCAGTCACAGTCACAGCGGCACACCGTCACACCTTCACATCGTTACTGTGGTGTGGCGACACCGACATACCATCACACCGTCACGCCACCATACCGTCAGACTTTCACATCATCACACTGCTACACCGTCATATCGTCACACTTTGACATCGTCGTACCGCCTCTCTATCATGCCGTCACACTGTCACACCGTATGTTGCTACTTGATGGCAACAATGGAACGAAATCACAAACCAATATAGAAAATGCTACAGTTCGAGCGTCGAGGTAACAGCTCAGTATAAATGCTGTTGTGACAAGCACGCGTTAAATTGTGTGTAGCGAGCACAATCCCCGTACAGCACAGATGTGAGTATATATATATATATATAGTGACAATATACGTTTGTCTGGGTGTTCTCAGTGTAGCTAACAGGAAGATAATCTTTATTAAAATAAACTAATATTTTAGCACTTTCAATTGGTCTTTCTTCGTAGCTGTAAAACCAGTATGTATATAGAATTGTCTATCAAATATTAGCATTCAAGGTGAGTACAAGCTTTATAGAATTTTGAGAACGATTCCAGATTGTTGTTTAAGCTATTTTTTTACTGAACTGTTTTAAATATATTGAATACTCTGAATAAAGATAAATATATAATCTGATGGCCTCAATAATGACAATATTGATGTTATATATTAAACTTGCTATTCGCCCCAGCTTTGCACGGGTGTACATGTATTATACATATAAACCTTCCTCTTTAAAAAAACCGCTTCAAAATCCGATGTGTAGTTTTAAACATTTAAGCATACATAGATAGGGATAGACAGACGGCGACAGCGACTTTGGATGGCAATAGGAAAATGTAAGGTGGGGTGACACAGTTTAGAAACGGCAGTGCTTAGTACACAGTATTGGATTTGTCTTACTACACATTATTAAATGCAATTATTATATTGATGTATCTAGGTAACTGTGTCCCATAAATATAAAAATATCCTCATCATATGATACTTATCCGTTTGATAACAATATGTAAGAGAGTGGTGCGACAATGAAGGAGCGTGGTGCGTGGTGCGTGGTGCGGGGGGGTGAGGGGGTGCGGGGGTGCGGGGTCGCGGGGCGCGGGGAGCTCACAATGACCCGACTCAAATTACCAACCTTTTGTCTTGAGGCCGCGGCGCCGATTCACCGGCTCTCACAAAATCTTTATTGCCTCCTTGAACAACTCTCCGAGGTGGATGCGGGGCTGCGGGGCTGCGGGGCTGCGGGCGTACGAGAGAACTACTCCACTCTGAACACGCACTTGTTCCTCACATGGAACACATATTATTTATATCGTAGTCCCATGATTTTTAACAATCGTTGAGCAGTATGATCTCCGCGACTTCGTCCGCGTAACATTTAACTTTACTTTTCCAAAAAGTAGTCTAAGTTACTGTTTATGACATCATCTAATCTAATCTAATCCAATAAAAGTCCCATCAAAATCGGTCCAGCCATTACAGAGATTTGCCAGAACAAACAGACAGACAGAATGGAATTTAACTTTATTTTTCTAAAATAAAAGTAGTCTAAGTTACTCTTTATTATATCAGCTGCATGCTAAAAAAAAGTCCCGTCAAAATCGGTCCCAGCCGATTTCAGAAATTAACCGGAACCAACAGACAAAAATGGTAAAAAATGATATTTTGGTGTATGTACCGTATTTATATTCATTTGCATGTAGTAAAAAACGGTTATTTCAATATTACAAACAGACACCCCAATTTTATTTTTCTTTCAAATTCAAAATCAAATATAAAAATAATTTATTCATGTAGGACATTTTAGCCGCTTATGAACGTCAAATTTTTTATATTATAATTTGTGCCCTGCCATCCAGTTCAGTATATAGATCCAATTGAGAAGAACTGGCGAGAAACTTTTCTTTTGAATTGAAAAAATTTAATTAGTATTTTTTTCTATTTATAATATTTTGTTTTAAATGTTCACACACAATAAAATGTTGTGTGTGGATAAAGGTATACATATATCCATCCATATAAGTTTCACCTGAGAGTGTTGTTGCCGCGTCGGTCGCGGTGTCGGTCTGTCTCGCCTCAACAACCCCGTGACACGGAGCCGCCCCGACATATTGCGAATTTGCGATGCTTTCACATGTGCCAATACTTATGGATTCCATCGCACCGTTCACCATACGATAGTAAATGATGTCGTCGTAGACACTCCACCGTGTGTTTGTACTGTGATCCATTTATTTTATTTAGTATCTCTCTCTGTCTGTACTCAATTTGCCAGAAAAAAAATCAAATGTGTTTAAAAGCTTATTATAAAATTGAAGAATTTATAAATGATAATAATGTTTTTGTAGAAAATATCTGACTTAAAATTCATAGCGCTGACAATGTTATCTGATTGAACAGAGATTAAGTGCGTAGCGGTTTCTATGTTGATTGTCGCATACCTAATCTTTGTTAATGTGAATATAATTAAAACAATATTTATTTAAAAGAGCAACACACAATTTCTATTTCATTCTTATTGCGAGTCTGCATTCGAATGAGCGGTAGATTAAAAACTTGACTATTCAAAAGTGCTTGTATTAAGTTTATTTGAATAAAGATTATTTCTATTTCTATTTCTGTTGCTTCTTTTTTTTTATTAATAATACAGATACATATTGGATATATATAACAGTTCAAAAGAACTGTTAAACATTCCAATCTGTATTGAGCGAATTAGGAATTTGTAAGTGATTAGGAAACTGTAAGTGATTCTGACATACAAAAGTATGTCAGAATCACTTACAGTTTCCTATACACAATTGAATGGAGAAAGTTTATTTCTTGATTAATAGGTATGATATAAATTCTTGCTTCAATTGTATAAGTATAGTAACGGGTCGTTAGGCTCCCTGAAATATGGTTAACGCTGTAATGGCTGCCTCATCCGTCACACTCGAGAACGAGTGCTGCCTGTCTGCCGCTCTACATTACTAAAAAATATTATTATATAGTACTAGCTTTTGCCCGCGGCTTCACTCGCGTTAATTTATCCCCTTAGGGGTGGAATTTATCAAAATCCCTTTTTAGGGGATGCCTCTACGTCATAGTAGCTTTACGCATGCAAGGTCTCAGCCTGATCGGTTTAAAATTGACAAAGTTTCATACAAACTTTCATCCCCTATTTTATACCCTTGGGGGTAGAATTAATCAAAATCGTTTTTTAACGGAAGCCTACGTCATAACATCAACCTGCATGCCAAATTTCAACCCGATCCGTCCAGTGGTTTGTGCTGTGCGTTGATAGATCACTATGTCAGTCACCATTTAGTTATATACATAGAGATATTTTACTTATTATATTAACTAGCAACCATTTCTACAGTACAGCTAAATAGATTTTTATCTATATTCTTCTGACGGCCTCGGTGGTCTAGCGGTCTAACACACCGCCTTACGTCCGATGGTCGCGGGTTCGATTCCTCGCACGGCACAAACATTTGTATTCATGAGTATGATTGTTTGTATCGGTCTGGGTGTTATCTATGTATATTATGTATGTATAAAAAAATCTATGTATTTGTATCAGTTATCTAGTACCCATAACACAAGCTTCAGCTAGCTTAACTTGGGTCTAGATGGCGCTGTGTGAGTTGTCCTGAGATTATTATTATTATTATTATCTGCATGTAATGCTGCTCAGAGTAAAGTTAATATTTGTAGTGTTATATAAACGAGTTGCAAATGTTAATCGGGAGAGTACTCCGCTACAAATGGTGTAAATAATTAATTGCTTACAAGTCGCTCCCCGGTCCCCGGTCGGTCGGTCGGTCGGTCGGTCGGTCGGTCGGTCGGTCGGTCGGTCGGTCGGTCGGTCGGTCGGTCGGTCGGTCGGTCGGTCGGTCGGTCGGTCGGTCGGTCGGTCGGTCGGTCGGTCGGTCGGTCGGTCGGTCGGTCGGTCGGCGGGGCGGCGCCGCTACTCTACTCTACTCGTACTTCGAACTCTGCCTATTTTTACCTTTACAAACTAGCACAACATCGTTTCTGATGCATTTTATTGTTACTTTATATGTATATTATTATATACTGGCTACTACATATATTTCTGTCTGTCTGTCTGATTGTTCCGGATAATCTCTGAAATACCAGAACCGATTTTGACGAGACTTTTTTTGGCAGGTAGCTGATGTAATTAGGAGTAACTTAGGTTACTTTTATTAAAAAAACGTGACGCTGTACCCGCGACTTCGTACACGTGAAATTTAACTTTATTTTTCTAAAATAAAAGTAGTCTAAGTTATTCTTTATAATATTATATATAGGTATATATATATATAGTCACGTGTAACTATTGACCTGTGCACCTGCAATATATTTCTCAATATTTATCAGCACACTGCGTACCTACTCTGCAGACGTTATTTTGAAGGAGCAAATTTCACATAATTGCATATTGTGCTGCTGTAATTCTGTACGTTAGCGTGTGTGGCGGTAATTGGTTGTCGGGGACCGACACTGACAGCAACACAGCAACATACGACCACAGCGTTACAGCGTACAGGGAAGGGGATTGTTAATAAAGCGGGCTCATGACCCCATCACCATGTACCATGTCAGGTTGACCTCCACGCGGTTCCCCCTGGAAACCATCGTGATAACTTCCTCGTATATTTGTCACGATGTTCTGACTTAACCTAATGTTCATCGTATCATCCTGCACTGGTGCCCCGCCAGCGTAAATCGTTAGCGCAGTCGGGTGCACCATTCCATTATCGTCTATAAAAAAATCACACGACTACACGTGAGGGGGGGGGGGCAAGGGGATTGGCTAAGCTGACATGCGAGCCCGACACACGAACTGTGGTAAGGTCGGGCAGCACTGGAGTTTACTACAAGACATTATTCAATTTTAATATTATTATGAACGCGAAAGTTTGTGAGTTAGTTGTAGTAGAGGATGTTTGTTACTCTTAGCGCAATAACTACTGAATGAATTTTGATGAAACTATACAGTAATATAGCTTATGCAACAGAATATATACTCTACACATACACATAGGCTATATTTTATATTGAAATTTAGTCACCGTAAATAATGCTTACCAATTAATGCAATAAATAACAAACAGAACGATGTAGCTGATACAAAATACTTAATTCATAAATAAATAAACTACAATACACGCATATATCACGAAGTGTTCTGAGAAATTGTTCGGATTATTACCAGCCGCTGAATTTCTCCATCGCACTACCATGTAGAAACTAAAATACCATCTGTA